GAGAGAGAGAGAGCAGGCGAGAGGGCAGGCGGGTGGCCCGGGGGTCCGCACACTCACACCCGCGGGACCCCGCTCCCGCCGCCCGCCGTTACCTTGGACAATCCCCGTGCTCATTATGGAGCCCATCCGGGAGTGGGTGTGATTGACAATCCCCGTGTTGGCTGCGCGGCAAGAGGGAGGGAGGAAGGAAGGGAGACGGCGTCACCGCCCCCGGCCCGGCCCGGCCCACACTCTTGTCACTGGGGTGTGGGCAGGGTGGGCACAGCGGCTGCAGAGCGAGGCAGAGAGGAACGGAACAGAGGGCCTCCGCCAGGAGCCCCAGGAAGAGGAAAAGGTGACGTCGAGACACCGCGGCGCAGAAAGCCCGAGCGCGCAGACGTTCCTGGACGCCGCCCCTCGTTGCCTCCGGACCCCGGGGGACACTCACCTAAAGGAATCAGGTTGTTGTGGCCCACGCTGGAGCCGCCGGCAATAACACTGCTCAGGTCGTAGGCGGTCGGCATCCCTGCGCGCAGAGAGGGAGAGGTCAGGGCCCTGGGCGACAGGGTCTCTGCCCCCGGGGGTCCCCACCGCCGGCCTCTCCCACGCGGGGCTGCTCACCAGCCACGGCCATCCCGCTGCTGAGGTTGTAGGTGCTGCCCGTGTTCCACATGTTCTCCGAGGGGGACGTGTAGTGGGAGCCGGGTGGGGGCGAGGGCGTCGTGCCTGTGTATCTGCAGCAGACAGACCCGGGCGCGGGGGTGAGAGGCTGCGGGCCGGGAGGGGCGCCCCGCATTCGGGCCGAGGGCTGATCCTACCTGAAGAAGGGGTTTTTCAGATCCAGGAGGTTACTGGATTTGGAGCCCGTCTGGTCTACCTGGGCCACAATACTGATGTCATAGCTCTGTCTGCAGAGAGGGCAGGGGAGGGACAGCCATGAGCTGGCTGGGTAGAGGAACCCCTGCCTCCCCCAGCCCCGGGTGGCAGCTCACACCTTTTGTTGGCAATAAGCAGACATGTCCCTGAGAGCGTGTCCCCGGCCTTGGCGAACAGTGGTGACTGGAACAGGCACCGGACCTGGTACCAGTGGGTCAGGGGCTCCGTCGGGGCCGTGGACAGCCACACTGTCATTCTGTCAAGCAAGGACAGGCATACGCTTGACCAGGCTGGAGCCACTACCCTGTGCACCTTGAGCTCTACACAGGCACCTCCGATGGGTGCCCCGGGGGCCTGGAGCCAAGACAGGCTGGCTGCCCAGGCATCCCAGGCACAGGCCCGCGCATACATACAGATCCACAGGGGGCCCACTCACCCTGGTGTCTGCGCCGAGAGACAGAGACCAGGTTCCGTGAAGGACAGCCACCGAGTGCAGGGTAGACACTCCCTCCCACAACAGTCTCTGGCTCAAAGGTGAGACCTCACTGCCTTTCAGAGGGGCCAGGGCACCTAGTCCCCTAGGCCTAGTCCTTCCTCCTAGTCCCCAGGCAGCCTTCCGAGGCAGCCAGGCCTGGGGGTCGCTGCAGGAAGTCCTGGGGCCGGGACAGCGGGGAGAGCGCGGCCTGCTCCGGTTGTACTCACATGGAGCCGATGAAGGCAACGTCGAACCAGAAAGCCAGACCGTGAACTAGCCCGGAATGCAGCATGTGGAATTTGAATGGGATTTCTATCCTAGAAGGCAAAGGGCAATGATCACTGGGGAAGTCAAACAGGCTGCCGACGGGGGGGTGGCTGGGGGCGGTGTCCTGGGGCCCCTGCGTGCCCACCACCCTGGGGCAGGATGCCTGAGGGCGTCTGTGGTGGCCCCAGACTCCAGCGGGAACCGGGCTCAGGAGGAGGGGCACGGGTGCCGGTACCTGTGCAAATCTCCTTCTTTGGCTTCTAAGAAGTTCACCGTGTACTTGACAGACTTGGCCATCAGGATCCGGATGTCAAACGTATCCTGGGAGAGACCACAGCAGGACCTGGCTTCAGGCACGGAGGCCAGGCGGGAAGGGGAGAGCTGTACCCCTCTCCCTGTCTGGCCGTGGCCTCGAGGCCGTTCGGCTAAGCCCACTTCGCCCTCCCTTCTTAGACGTGTTGGGGGAGGACGAAGCGGCACGCCACCGTGGAGGGCAGCGAGGCGACAGCCCTCAAAATCACCACCTTTCACGGGCATCAAAGACTCGTTCTGGGAATTTAACCTACGGATCAACGTGCACCTTTGCAAGCTCACACGCGTAATTAGGTTGTCTAGAGTAGAGACACATTCCGGAAACCATCTCGTTAAACCACCAACGTGCCATCCATAAAAGACTGTATGAGAACTAACGAAAGAACGAAGAAAGAACAGACGGGGAAAGATTTCCGAGATAAACCGCTAGTTAAAAAGCAAGCTGGAGAACTACGTGCTCACGTCCACAGCCAGCTATGACGAAGGCTTTTCATCAGACTAACACTCTGGGGAAGAACTGTGTGAGCTGAATAAAATACACAGGAAAACTACAGCCTGGTTTGAAAGCACTGAAGAGTACCCAGAGCAGCCACGGCTTTGGGAGCCCACATCCTAGAGAGAAGGGAGATGTGTTTTGGCCTGTGCCTTTCCCCTTGGGGCAGGACCTTTTGGCAGCCTCCCTGGGTGGGGAAAGCAAAACGGAGGCTCAGGGTTACCAAGGCAGCTAGGATTCAAGAGGTCGAGATACGAAACAAAAGGGAAATGTAGAAACAGGTGGATGTTCTACATGCAGTTTCACTTTGTGGCATTTGCCAGTTCCTGAGCTGTGTGGAGGGGCGGGGCTCGGAGACAAAGAAACAAAGCAGAAAGCCACTTATAAGACGCTGAAAAAGTAAGAAAAGGCTCAGGCGCATACTGGTGCTGGGAGGGTGGGACGAGGGACCCCGCCCGCCACGGGGCACCCACCGTGGTTACATGGAGACCACTGCAGGCGAGGCCCTAAAGCAGCAGCTCTCCAAAGGTAGTCTCTTCCAGAGCACTCCCAAGGTCAAAGCTATTTTCATAATACTAAGATGTTTTCTGCCTTTTTCTTGGGTTCACTCACCTGTGATAAACACAACCGATTGAACACAGAAGCGGAATCCAACTGTCTTCTATGAAGCCAGACATTAAAGAGACTTGCAAACTAAAAAATCCCAACTGTTCTCGCTGAAAAGTTTTGGAAAATAGTTTTTTTTTTCCTTAAAAATGCTATTTATGGTAACCTGTAATGAGCTTATTGTTATTTTTTTATTAAAAAAAAATTTTTTTTAACGTTTATTTATTTTTGAGACAGAGAACCAGAGCACTGAGCAGGAGGGTCAAGGAGGAGGGGCTAGAATCTAAGAACAGGCTCCAGGCTCCTGAGCTGTCAGCACAGAGCCGATGTGGGGCTGGAGCTGTTTCTTGAGATCCTTGGCCTGAGCCACCCAGGCGCCCCGAGCTTATTGTTATTTTTAAATAAATATATATTTTTTAATTTCTTGGGCTTAATTTTTAATACCAAGAGATATTGGCAGTATATCAATAGCTAAAACACTAACAAAAGCTCTTTGGGATCCTCCATTTTTAAGAATGTAAACAGGCTAAAAAAATGTAAAACAGGTCACTGAGACCAAAATGCTTGAAAACCACTGCCTGTCTTACAGGGAAAGCTAGAAGTAGACCAGCAAAGTCAAGTCTGAAAAGCAGCCTCTAAATATATCAAGTGCCTTATAGGACCAAGGTGATCTATCTATATATGGCTAACTGCCTGAAGAAAAACAAATACTTGGAAGGAAAGACATCATCCAGAGCCTCTATAATTTTTCATTCTGGTATCCAATGACCAGGCATACCAAGAAACAGAACAAGAGAATGAGGACCAAAAACTAAGAGAATATAAACAAAAAACAAATACACTGAACACCCAGATAGTGAAAGTGACCAAAGATTTACAGTATGTACAAGAAAAAAGGTAGAAAAAAATGTATTTCAGAGAACTAAAATAAAAAAAATAAGCAAAAGGAGATCCTGGTACTGAAATTAAGAATTAGAAAATGAGCTTAAATGGCAAAGAGAAGATTAGAACTGGAAGATGGATCAGTAGGAAATGTGAAAATGAAGCAAACAGAGAAAAAAGGATGGAAGGAGAAAGAGAATGAGGCAGAGGTAGTGCTTAAAAAGACAGTGCCCAAGAGTCTCCAGAAACTAGTGAAAGACATCAAGTGCGGGGAAATAATGTAACCTTATTAATGCAAAAAATAACAAAACAGTTTAAAAGAACATTCAGGATAAAGGGAAAAAGATGACAAATTTAGACCCACAAAGATCAGTAATTACATTAAATGTAAAATGGTCTCAATGTTGTAATTGAAAGACAAAAATAAAAGGTCAATCTGACTAAAAAACAAATGCAAAATACATGCTGCTTACATGAGACAAACGTTAAGTAATAAGGACACAAAAAGGTTGAAAGTAGAAAGAAAAAAACATACTGTACAAAGATTAACCAAAAGAAGGCAAGAGTAGCTAAACTACTATCAGGAAAAAGAAAAAAATATTTTAGGCCAACCTGTACTACTTGAGGAAAAAAAAGGAACCCTTTTTATAGTGATAAAAGGATCAATGCAACAGGAAGATATAACAGTCCTAAATCTGTATGCACCTAATAACACAACGCCAAAAAACATAAAGCCAAAACTCAGAAATGGAAAAAGAAATCTACAATCAGTGATAGGAAAAGCAGATCCCAACTTCCCCCCCACCCCGCCCCATTTCAGTAGAGGTAGGCAAGATTTGACCAATATGATTAACTAACGTGACCTAATTCTTAATACAACATTCTTCTCAACTGATAAACATATTTTTTTCAAGTACGGAGAGAACATTAACCAAAAGAGATCACATAGTGGGCATGAAGCAACTGTCAACAAATTTCAAAGGACTGAAATCATACAGTGTATGTTCTCTGAACACAGAAATAAACTAGTTTGCTGATTATGCTATATTTTGAGAGAAAAAAAAAAGACTATATATGTGTGTATTTGTATATGCACATTTAGATATAAAACTTCTGAAAATATATCTAAGAAATACTGTTTGCCTGTAGGCTTTCAGTTTATACTTTTATGATTTTTGAACCATGGGTCTATATATTAGTTCAAAAATCTCAATTAACATCAATCAAAATCAGTTCACCAAGAATCAATTCATCTAACAGCAGTTTGCACGTATTGCACGCTTACTGTGTGTTAAAGCACTCTGCACGCATTGCCACTTTATTCCCAACAACCCCTGTGCGAGAGCTCTGTGTAGCAGCAAAAGCAAGAGCTCAGAGAGGGGCGGCGGCTTTCCTAGGGCTGCAGAGCTTGCACAAGACCTAACAGGAAAGCCCATGCCCCCCTCTTGTCACCCCAGAGGAGGGCCATGCCTAGTGCCAACTGTGATAGTGCCTTGAATGCCCCACTTACCACCACAGGCTGCCGGAAATACTCGTCCACTGCAGCGCCTCGGAGGGCTGACAGGTCCACTCCATGGAAGGATGGCTGGTACCTGCAGAAAGTCCCCATTCCCACAGCAAGGTTACCAGTAGCAGGAGAGACAGGTGGGGCAGGCTGCCTTCTCTCCCAGCTGGCCCTCAACCAGCCCAAGTCTTTCGGGTCCTACTGAGGATGCGGAAAAAAAGAGAAGCGGGGCCATCCCTGAGAAGGCAGGACACCCAGGTCACACTCACCAGAAGTTGGCCTTGGTGAACTGCTCCATGTAGAGCTGTTCATCCGTGAAGGGTGCCAGATGGACGTCACCAATGGTGGGGAACATGTTTCCTGGGAGTGGGGGGCAGGGAGGGGTGCTGACGTCAGGGTGGAACATCCCAAAGCGCCTGGCAGAGCTTCCAAATGGCCCCTGGATCCCCAAGCCTGGGACTTCCCAGCCTCTCATTCATTCATTTGTGCATTCGTGCGACATAAAGATATGGAGCACCGTCTCTGCCACTGGCCAAGATGAGCGCTTGACGTGCACGGTCTCGTGAAACTTGGCCGGCCAGCCAGGGAAGCAGGAAGGCCTGTCCTTGTGTTCCATTACCAGGGCTGGGAGGTGGGAAGGCACCTGCCAAAGCCTCGGGGGGGTAAGCAAGTGGTGGCTGGGGTGCAGCCAGGCCTCTGGGTCCCTGCTCAGCCAGCCAGGTGGTGCCTCTCGAGTGCTGCTGTCCATGGACAGGTGCACAGCCAGGGAAAGTGAAGCAAAGCACTCTGGACAGGGCGAAGGCAAGCCCTAGAATATGCCGTCAGCACCTCAGATGAGGCTAGAGGCTAGGTGGGGGGGTTCAGCTGAATCTCGGCCTCTGGCAAACAGGTGAGCCACTTGGCCACCCTGGTCTGGCACGTGGGCTGACACGGGAAGGGGGGTTGGCCACGGTCCTCCCTCCGTGTGACTCCACAAACAGACGGAGGAGTCCCAGTCAGTGGCAGACAGAGCCAGGGCTTGGGAGGCCCCACCCCCCTGGGGTAGTCTAGGGCCCCAGGTCACCTGGCCTCCAGATGTGGGCCTCCCTCCCTCCCTCCATGCAGGAGAGGGGGGCCCTGAGGCACTGGCAGGAATCTGCCTCCTCTTCCAGCTAGAAGGCTCAGCTACAGCCACCGGGATGGGGCGGGGGAGATGCCTGACTTTGGCTCGGAGGCCACACTCCAGGCCACGTGGCCAGGAGGAGACTGCCAGCCCCCAAGGGCGTTACGGGAAAGTGCCCCTGCTCCGGAGGCACCTAAACGTATGTGGCTGGAGAGGATTCCCTTCAATCCACTGAAGAGCATGTTGGGATGGATGAAGACACGCAGGCTGGGGGCAGGAGGGCAGTGCGGCCGGCCCGGCCCGCAGCCTCGTCACGGGCGGGCTGCCCGCCGGAGCCTGACGCCCCTCTGTGCTCGTGCCCCATGAGGAGGAGCCCATTCCGCTGGGGCACCACCCCCGGCTAGTTCAGTCTATCCTACAGGACAGGAAGGGAGGAGAGGGGGTCCAGGACACCAGCACCTACCCCCCCGCCCCCGCAGGCAGCCTGGCTTCCCACACGCGCACCCGTAACACAGCCCCCAGCGGCGGGAGTACAGCCTGAGGCCAGTCCCTGCAGCCCAGACCCAGGGAGGCCAGAGGACCAAAGCAGGTGTTTCCCCCACAGAACCACCCATCCCCTGGCCCCCACGAGGCCTGCCAGTCCACCAGCTTCCCGTGTTCTGTCCCACGGCTGCTGCCCTGGCCAGGGTCCCCCTGTGCCACACACACCCACACGTGCACACAACCCCTTACTTGCACAGAGATACTCAAAACACACACACAAACCATGAACGGAAACAGAAATACCAGCAGACGTTCCAGGCCGTGCACATAAACCCCAGGGACGTGCCTAAGTATGAACAGCCTGCGACCCAGGTGTGCGGACAGGCAGGCACAGCGACACAGACAGGAGGCCACAGAAGGGCAGGCCAGACAGCGGCTCCGTGACGCTCGAGAACCCCCAGCCCACTCTCTCACACACACGAACTCCCTCCTTCGTCTCCCTGGCTCGGCGGAGCTCAGGGGCCTGTCACGCCAGGATGAGGTCTGTGGCGCCAGGAATGAAGACAGAAGGCTGGCTCCTCGGGAAGGTGCCCAGCACAGAGTACCTTCTGCACCTGCCGCAACCCCCACTCCCAGCTAGATACTGTCCCCGCGACACAGGACCTAAGACAGCAGAGGCGGCCCGGAGGCTGTCCGGGGGCAGGGCAGGCGGAGGTCTGGCCCCGCACCCCTGTAGCCACGGCCGGCGGGGGTGGGCAAGGGACCAGGGGTAAAGGCTCGGATGCCCCCGGCACCCCAGGCTGCCAAGGCAGGCAGGCAGGGCACAGAATCACAATGGTACCAACTGAGCAGCAGCCAGGGGCCCTGCGGCGGGACCCCCTGTGGCAGCCACCTGCGCCGGCAAGGACACTCACCCCCCGGCCTCAGGTATTTCTTGGCGTGGAGGTAGCTCTCGAGCATGCGCTCGTTGAAGAGCATGTAGCCCATGGGCTCCGAGATGATGATGTCCACCTGCTCGGGGAGCGAGACTTCCTCCACCTTCCCGGGGATGACCACGATGCGCTCAGTGAGGTTGTTACTCTTCACCAAGACCTGCGGGCGCGTGGGGGGGCGGGGGGGCCCAGAGGCGTCATGGGGGTCCCCGCACCCAGCCACACCATGAGTCGTCACCAGACCCTTCCTCTCGGGGGCAGGCTTCCACCCACGCACGGCCACCAAACCCCCGCCTCTCTCGTCAGCATTCCAGCCACAGCCACTGCCAGCCACGGCCCATGAGTAGCTCACGGCAACCTCAGCCCTCTCTCGGGGCCTTTCCTGCCGCGGCTCCCTGGTCCCCCGATGTCACCTCCACCCTTCGAGGACAACAGCTGATGGGAGTAGGCAGGACGAGGAGGCTTTGCTACAGCCACCAAAGCTAAACTCGGACACACCCTCCAACCCGGGGACTCCAGTGCTAAGAACGTGTCCTACACACATCACCGCACACGAGAGGGGACAGAGCGTGGGGGGTTCAGCAGAGCACGTGTTTGCACTGCAAAGACCGAAGCGGCCCGAAGGTCGATGACAGCCCAGCTGCATCTAAACGGACAACGGTCCCCGGGGCGAAGGGATGCCTGGCAGCCACTCGACAGGGTGAGGGAGCTCTTTACGGGGGGACATGGACAGTCCCAGGCACGCGGCACGGGGGGCCGGAGCACGGCAACGTGGCAGTGTGCGGTCAGAGGACGCAGGCCGGCTTTCGGAGCCCCGGGGCGGCCCTGAGAGCCTGAGACCCCCCCAACAGGTCTCCGTCGCTCCAGAGTGGGGAGCCAGGCAGTTGGGAGGCGGGGTGGGGGAGGGAGGTAGCCTCGCAGTTAACCCTTCGCAGCGTTTCGGTTCTGAACCTCGTGAACGAAGGTTTCAACGCACGGAAAACGAAACGAGGAAAACGACAGCATAAACGAAAGGAAAGCTTGCTGTTACCCACACTCCACACAGGCGGGGAGTGGGGCTCGGAGCGGGGCCGCGATCCCACCCTGGTCCGTGTGACCGCACAAGCTGCCCCCCGGGGGCAAGAGGCCGTCCCCCCTCTGAAGAGCTCCGAGCTGGCTCCGACCCCGTCACGGAGGGCACACACCACCTCCCGTCCGGCAAGCCTGTTGACCCGCGGTTCCGGGAGACAAGAGACCAGAACAGAGAGGCGCTGCGCCCGGGCTCCCCGGATGCGGGGGTCAAGTCTCCCAGAGGGGCCAGCTTCCCCAGGCCGGAACAGAGCTCGAGGACAAGCTGGGGTCCCCGTGGGCCGCTCACCTCTGCGTGCTGGGCCATGGTGCTGGCCTCCACTGCGTAGATCTTCCTCGCCCCGGCCTGGGCGGCGAAAAACGAGAGGATGCCAGAGCCACAGCCCACGTCCAGAACGATCTGGAGGAGGAAGGGGGCAGTGAGAAGCGGACACTAGTGAAGCGAGGGTGATCCTAACGGATGTGCACGTCCCCCGGCGCTCGCTCCCCGCAGGACCCTCCCGGCCGAGTGTGCTCCGTGCCCTTCCGCCCGCATCCCAGCAACACAGGCCGGCCGCCCCCGGGGCTGGAGCACGTGGGCGCCCCTAGCTGGAGTCCGAAGGCGGCAGAGCAGGATTTCTGAAGTCTGCTAGGATGTTAAGACCGTTACACGCCCTCAGGGCGGATTCAGAAAGGAACGGTTTGGGCAACGATCAGTCTACGCAGGCAGCGATCAGTCTACGCAGGCAGCGTGGTGGACTCCAGGCACGCCTATAGCTTCTCTGGGGATGAGCACTCACTAAGTGCAGCCAGGAGCCCCTCTTTCTTTTTAGTCACGAGTCTATGCTACTTGGTAACAGTAAAAAGATTTTAAAAGCGACTAAGAAAATAACCAGACAAGTGACAGTACATCCGCGTGACTTACTGGCCTGTCCCAAGACCTCTCGTTATGGGGGGGGAAAGGTTTTCTGCAGGAGGAGTACACAGAATAAGATCCTATTTTGTAAATCCGTTAATTAATCAATTCTAGATTATATACGCCGATGCACGCATAGGGGAAAATGTGGAAAAAACCCTTACTGTTGGCTCTGGAGGTGAATGACAGAGGCTTTTTGCGCCTACTGGGTTTTCACAAAGTGTAGACTTTGCTCTTGTAATCCGAAAAAATTAAAGATGAAATCAACGAGCAAAGAAAAACACAACTGGAGACAACCGACCTGGAGCCTGGGCGGAGGGGCCCAGGGGAGGGGGGAGGAAAGCAGCTGCTCCCCTGGCCAGGCCCGCTCACCTTGTCCTTGAAGTCCGTGTGGTTCTGCAGGATGGCGCGCTGGTAGGTGCCTGTCCGCACGTAGTCCTGCATCATGTTCTGCTGCTGGGACAGGTAGCCGTAAAACTGGAACAGAGACACGCCAATGGCACAGGGCACGCGGCGGCACAGACGACCGTGGCCCTGGCTGGCCCTGCGACACAGGAGGGCCCACCGTGGGCGCAAACCTCCCTTGGGAGGCTGCACCCCCTCTACCGACCCAGACCCCGCTGGCAGCTGCCGGCCGCTCCGGGAAAGGGAGTGGGAAGCCTCAGGCAGCCCCCAGGAGGGTCACCGCCACCATCACCGTGGCCAACGTGTGCAGCCGGGTGCTGCCCAGACCTGGGAGCCACCCAGGAGAAGTCAAGATTTGCCACAGGAGGGGTTCTGGGATTGGGGGCCGCCTGCCCCATCTTAGGGTCCCCAACGAAGCAGAGGTGTAGAACAGACAGAACCCTAGAACTCAGAGCGCCAGGCGGGTGAGGTGCTGCGGGGTCTCTCTGTAAGACAACGGGCGATCGGGAGGCAGCGTGGCACCTGGGCAGGGGCACAGGCTTTGGCATCAGGCAGACCTGGCTTCCCATCTTGGCTCTGTTGCATAATAGCTGTGTGACTTGGAGCAAGTCACTTAACCTCTCTGAGCCTCAGTTTTCTCATCTGTAAAATGGGGACAATAATAGTACTTACCTCCTAGGGTTGTTGGGAGGGTCAATGCATCTGCAGGTGTAAAAGCGCTCAGACCAATGCCTGTTCGGTACGTGATAACTATGCTACTGTTACTCAAAACGCCTGTGAACCTGAGCTTCACCTGCACTCAATTCCTCCAGCAACCCTCCTAGGCAGACCCTGGCATCTCCGTTTCACAGATGAGGAAACTGAGGCCCAGCAGGCGAAGGAAACCTGCCCGAGGCTACGTGGCTAGTAAGGGGCAGAGCCAGGACGAGAACCCAGGTGGGCCTGCCCTTTGCTGCCCACCCGGTGGCGGCAGCCTGGTCGGGGGGTGACGCGTACCCACCTGGAAATACTGCACGGCGGAGGACTCCTCTGTGCGCTCACTGAACACCGACCGCTCCAGGGTGTGGCCCCGACAGGTTTTCAGGATGTTATAGAAGGAACAGAAATCTGGAAGGGGGAGGCCAGGTCATCGGTGGGCATCTCGGGGGTGGGGTTCCATCTACGTGCACACCCCGACTCTCCTAGTTTGAGCATGCGTGCTTGGTGATCTCTTTGTCCCCAAACCAGCGCTGAAATTCATGAAGAAGGGCAGCCAAACCCTGCCTCTTGGTGGCCGGCACGAGGCCGGGATTTTGCAGTCGGGGGCGGGGAGCGTGTGTGTGTGTGCTCCGCGCGGCCGGTGGGGCCGACGAGCCTGGCTGAAGCCTCGGGAGGACACGCGCCCGCTGAGCCAGGGTCATACCTCACAGACTGGCCCGAGCCCAGGAACCGCAAGCACCCCTACAGGGTCTGTGTGGGGCCGACTGGGAGGGTGTGGGCGGCTACCCAGCAGTAAATGTATTTAACAACCTGAACTATACACGTAAAAATGGTTAAGAGGGTAAATTTTGTCATGCGTATTTTAACCCAGTGCCTTAAAAGTAGAGCAGATTTCTAAGGCAAGCTCTTAAAAAATTAAAATCTGCAGTTTGGGAAGCTGAAAAAGTCCTGGAGGCGGATGGGGGCGACAACGGTGGGAGGTCGCGCGGTGCCCCCCCCCCCCAGGCTCTACGCCCAGAAAGGGTTAAGACGTTAAATGTCTGTTATGTGTACTTTACCTCCATTTAAAAAACTGGTGGAATTAAAAGGGAAAAAAGCCAACTATAAATATTCATGGAGTCGGAAAAGACTAGATTGACACCAGCTCCCACCGCTCACCCCTGGGGTGGTGTTTTAAACACCGACTTCGGGTGATTTACGTAAGTAAAGAAAGAAATGGGGCGTAAGACTGCCTCCTGCGGTGGAGGGGGTCAGTCACCTGGCTCCTTCCACCCCACCCGGCTTCCTCTTCCACCGGGGGCACTGGGACTGCTGCGGGGGTGGGGTGGGGGGCTGGCGGCAGAGGGCGGGCAGCTTCTCCACCTCGACTCTCCCAGCCCGGCCACCAGGATCACCGACATCACCTGCGGTGACCAGGCCTGGCTGCTGCACCAGTAAGCGGTCTCCAGCCCCAGGCGCCCCACCACCTCGGCTGCTGACCTCCACCTGAGCCACCAGCAGTCGCCTGGGGCTCTAAAAACCCTCCTCGGGAACCAGAAACAGCCTGCATCCACTTGGATCCCGGAGCAGGGTCCGCACAGAACCCTCCCGTGGCTTCTCTATGCGCTCGGAACAGAGCTCTGCCTGCCTCGGCTTCCGTCTCGCTCCCATCCTCCGCTGCCCCCAGACTCGCCCCCAGGCTCCACCAGGAGACCTGGGGTGCACCCAGGCCAGGTGGTCAGGACAGGCCTCTTGCAGAAAGGGAGGTAAGAGCTGAGCCCAGGAGGACCCAAATGATTCGGCAAGGGAAGGTCTGGGGAGGAGCGTTCCAGGCAGAGAGAATGTCCTCTTCCCACGAACGTATCTCCGCATGGGAATAATTTCTGCTGGCTCCCTGGGACAGACGGATGGGCCGTGACCGAACAGGGCTCCGGGTCCCCCGCCAGCCACGGCTGACGGATCTCCGGCCGTGTGCCGCCAGGACGGAAGGGACACGTACCATTGGGAGTGGCGAACTGGATGAGGACGCTGTTGCAGCCCAGGGTGATTATGAAGGACTGCTTGCCCACGCGGCTGCACTCTGTCTCTCGGGACACCGAGCACTTAAACACACACACATCTTCGTCTGCAAGAGGAGAGAGGGGAGCATGAGCCAAAGGGTCCCGGGGCCGGCCGAGCAAGGCTCCCTGTGGGCTAAGTTTGTTCGAGTCATGTCCCCGCCACCGCCACCCCGCTCCTCACAGCCCCCAGGTTTTTCTGAGGCTCCATAAAACCCGCCCCGGGCCCACTGCCGCGTGTGCCCCGCCTGCCCAGCCCACACTGAGGAAGAGGGGACGGCCGATCGGGCGGCAGTGACACAGGACAAAGCATGTCGAGTGGAGAGGACCGCTGTTCACAGAGCGACCGAGGCCGAGGGTGGGGGTGGGGGGCGGCCAGGCGCCATGGGGCCGAGCAGGACACCGGGGCCCGGGGGCGCCTCTGCTTGAGCCTGAGCCCTTCCCTCTTGGATTCGGGCGGCGCAGTGAGTCTAAGCGGGGCCCCGGGAGCCGGACGGCCCGGGTTCGTGTCCCACACGCACCACTCGGTGCGTGATTCGTGCGGGTCACTTGGCCTCCCTGAGCCTCGGTTTTCTCATCTGCCTAATGGGGCTGACGGTGGGGCAGGCACAGGGCCCGGCACACGGCGAGCACGGCATCCACGAGCCGCTGCTAATTACTGTTACCGCTCGTTCCTTCGCCCTCAAACGGTGAAACTTTGCATCACCAGAAACAGGCCGAACCGACACGCCCGGGAGGCCCTGGTGTGGTGCGGCGGGACAGACACGGCATCTGTGTCGCATTCTCGGCACAAGTGTCCACCCTGGTCCTCTTGCGACGGCTCCAGACCGTGGGGTGGTCGGCGAGACAGCACACCTGCTCTCCTCCTCAAAGCGGCAATGCCAGGAAAGAGGCGCATTTTGGGGAGCCTTTCCAGAGCGAGGGTCACCAAAAACATGTGACCCCAATGCCACCGGTGCCCCAACTGGAGCCTAATGAAACCTTTTCACAAGCTGTTAGGGACCATTGGGAAACTGAGTGTGGACCGCGGGTGTGACAAGGTTAGAAGACAAACGTGTGACGCCAGCATGTGGGTCCGCAGAATAACGCCCTCATTCTTCTAAGAAACGGAAGTACTAAGTGAATTCTTGTCACATCTGCAACTCACCTTAGAGTAGCTCATCAAATAGACAACTACAAACCACACGTACAGAGAGCAGCCCGAGTACCAATGTGGCCAAGTGTCCCCGTCACCCCAGAAAGCCAAAACCATCTTGAAAAAGAGCAAAGTGGAAAGACTCACCCTCCCCAATCTCAAACCTACTTTGAAGGTACCGTGATCAACATGGAATAGTACTGGCAAAGGAGAGACCAACGCAATAGAATCAGAGTCAAATTAAAACCTTATGTTTATAATCAACTGACTTCTTTCATTTTTCTTAGCAATCTCTATACCCAACGTGGGGCTCAAACTCATGACCCCGGGTTTAAGAGTCACAT